GGAGGGGCTCATGCAGGGGCTGCAGGCAAGAAGGTTGCTTAATTCCCCCTGCCCCCCCCTCTCTCCTCAGATGGTTATGAGTTCCTAGAGATCTTGAAAGAAGTTGCCCAAGAAAACACAGACAACCCAGATCTCAGCATCATCTGGATCGATCCTGAGGAATTCCCACTGGTGAAGAGTCCACAAAGTCCTTGAAAACAGAGGGGGAGGAGGAGCCACTCTGGGAAGCGCCTGGGCACCATTTCCCCTGGCGCCTCGCTGTCCTTCTCTCCTGACCTGCAAGATCTCACGTGGCCTGCTGGGAGCCACGGAGCATGGGGAGAGGCGGGCGCTTGTGGGAGGGCAGCTCTTTTGATCTGGCTGGAGGGCAGGGGCCCAGAGGGCCATGAGGGGAGGGGAGGGGCAGAAAAGCCAGCAGGGTCCCTGGGAAGAGGAGGCTGAGGGAAGGACAATGCCCCCCTTTGGATCCCTAGGCATCCAAGGGGCGGGTGGAGCATAAGATCAAAACCCCAAAGGAGAAGGAATTATAGGGCGGAGGAACATCCCTGTAATTCATGTAGAAGAGGAAGGGACTATTTACACCCACGGTACAAATAGTGCTCCACCCCCATTCCAGCCCCCAACCAAACCCCAGAAATCTCTCCGTCCCAAGGCGCTCACTCTCACCTCTTTCCTTCCTTCCCAGCTGATCCCTTACTGGGAGAAAACCTTTGACATTGACCTGTCCCGGCCTCAGATGGGCATTGTCAACGTAACGGATGTGAGTACCGTCAAACACCTGGCTGCCCCTTGGGTGTTGGGCCCATGGGGCACAGCCTGGAGATGGGTGCCTGAGGGCTTCGGGGAAGACCAGCTGGGGGGGGGGGCGGAGGTTGTTGTGGGCTTTCCCAACTGGGGGGTGACTGGGGGCCACCAGACTGAGCCTCAAAAGGGGCCAAGAGGGAAGGCCTGGACGCTGGAGCCAGTGAGGGGGTGGAAGCTGGGGGGGCTTGGCCCTGCCCAACTGGACTCCCCCCAGCAGTTCTCTCCTCCAATGTCCCCCCTTCAGGCCGACAGTGTCTGGATGGAGATGGATGATGAGGAAGACCTGCCCTCTGCGGAAGAGCTGGAAGACTGGATTGAGGATGTGCTGGAAGGGGAGATAAACACCGAAGACGACGATGACGATGATGACGACGACGACGATGACGACTAAGCGCTGGCCCTTCCCATTTTTTTCGTGCAAGGCCGGCCTTGTCTGGGGGGCTCCACCCATCCCGTCCTCCGGCATCACACACAGCTGACCCCAACAGCAGCACCTTTGGCCTGCATGAAAACGCCCCGGCCCTAGCCAGAAAATATTTTTATATTGATCTTATTTACGTCCAAGGCCCTCACAGCAGGCTGACCATGCTCCCTCCACGCAGGTCCCCCCCAGGGCCCCCCGTCTGCCCTTGACGAGTGCGGGGGGGAGGGGCAGAACCGTCTCTCTCCAGATTTTCTCCAAAGGCTCCTCCGTCTGCCCTCCGCTTCAATTGGCCAGATGCCAGGGGAGAATGCCACCTTTCCTGGGATGGTGCCAACACCGGCCAAGTCCTTCCCTGGTCCTAGAAAGGCTCGTTCTCTGGATGGGGAGGCACTCTTAGCCCTATCTGAAGGCCAGGGGAATTTCCCATCATGCACCTCAACCCCGAGACTTGGTCCTTGCCTTCTGCTTCGGACCTTTTGGGGCTCCTTAATGGTCAAGGCTGCCCTTAGCAGAGGAGATCACTGAGGGGTCCCTGTCTCTGGGGGCTACTGAAAAGGTGGAAGCTGCCCCCCCGTCCCATCCAGGCCTTGGGACATGATGGCAACATGTCCACGCCAGTCTCCTCTGGCAACAAGGCGCTCTCACCTTTTCAGGTAGATAAATCCAAATCGCTAGAGGGCAGCAGTTTAATTTCCAAAGCTATTCAGCCACACGCAAAGAACAGAAACAGAAAAAGTGATCGGCAAACTTGTTAACGTCCCTTCAAAACCGTTCCCCCTGTGGTTCTTCTCCTTTTACACACACAGAGACCCACGGGAAGGGGATTTTGCTGCCCTAGTTCTTAGGTATCAGGAACCGATCTTTTGCTGAACTCTTTTCGAGTTCCATTTTTTTAGGACAATAAATTCTGAGTCATTTTGCTGAATTAGTTGTAGAAGTGAAAGATGTGCCAGCAGTAAAAATCAGATGCAAATTAACTTCAGAGCTTGGGGAGGGGGAGAGATTCGGGCTCTGTTTTCCTGCTCTCTTTAGTGAAGATGGGGGGGGGAGCCAGCTCAGCAGGCAGTGAGGGGCGTAATGTACAATTTGTATATTTTTCAACACCTTTGTACAGATCAAACCAAAAGTGATTAAAAAAATGGAACCATAAAAGGGACTGGTGAGGTATTTTCCTCTCCCTTTTGCCCCTTCTTTGGCACACAGGTTTTTGGATCAGAAAGTTTGAAATATTCTGCAGTTGGGGGGGAGGGTTAGAGAAACAGCTCGATTGCTCTGCCATGGAAACTGTGCACCCAAAAAGGGGCAATGCTCCACACCTCCCACCCTGCCAGGGAGCCACAAGAAGGGGCAGCCGGAGGGCTGCCAACTCCAGAGAACATGGAAAGGCCACGCAGCTCCCACGGCTGGATGTTGATGGCCTCTGGGGGCAGCCCAAACAGGCAAGGTCCCACCTATTAAAGGCTATTCCCTCCCCCCAGCACTGTTCCTGCTTCTTGACGGTCTCTATAAATAATATATGCTAATCAAAGAGAATATGCAGCCTTCCCTCCAAGTTTTCATCTCTTGGCAGTGGAAAAAATGCTGCGTCCATCCATCATCCCTGCAGCACTTAGGAACCCGCTGGCTCTGCAATCGGTCCAGGACTGGCCTCGGCTGCCCCTTGGAGGGACAGGGCTGCGCTTGCTCCCATTTCACAGAAGGGAGAAATGAGGCCAGGAGAGAGAAGCTGGGGAGGAAGGGAGGGATTTGCCCTAGAGAAACAGGGCAGAAACTCAGCGAGGAGGATCAGCCCATCTGTGGTGCTTCTAGCGGCCTTTAATTAAACCTTCTTGGCCAGGGGCAGTTTACCTCCAAACAGCTGCCAACAATGGATAGACAATCATTTGTTTTATATTGCTTAGTGGAAATAGGGTGCAGCACTGGGGTAGGTGGGTGGGCTGGTCCAAGGAAAGGGGCCATGCCTGTCCCCCTGGAGGAACCCTCCCTTGCCCCACGAAGGGGTCACAGAGGACGGCAGGCGGAACTCCTCAGCAATTCTTTCGACGAATCTCACGCTCACATCAGTGCCACCAGTTTTTTCCTCCCCCCCCCATCAAAAATGCATGAAAAGCATTGCCAGTCTATTAATATCAACTCTGGTAAAAAGCTTTTTATGCACGTGCGTTGTGGGTGATGGAGAGACATGGGCAGCAGAGGAACCCATCCATGGGGGAGGAGGGAAACCGACAGGGAAGGTTATGGGGAGGGGGCGCTCTGGCTAAACTTGCTCTGAACTGCCTTTGAGGTGGGGAGAACCTTCAGGGTGGGAGGGGGGCATAAAGGTGTAAAGGCAGGTGACAGAACTGGCAGTAGCTGCTCCAGACTTTGGGGCACAGGCACCTTGGAGTACCCACCGTAACTCTTCCCAAGGAAGTCACAAAAAGGGACGCGAGGACCACCACCTCCATCACTACTGGGCGGGGGGGCATTTTAAGGATGGGCGATGGTGGCGCAGTGGTGAGAATGCAGTACTGCCAACTGCCTGCAGTTTGGCAGTTGGAGTCTCACCGGCTCAAGGTTGACTCAGCTTTCCATCCTTCTGAGGTTGATAAAATGAGAAGCCAGATTGTTGGGGGCAAGAGGCTGACTCTGTAAACCGCTTAGAGAGGGCTGGAAAGCACCGTGAAGTGGCAAAGAGCTAAGTGCTATTGCCGTCTTCTAGTGCCCATCCTTACCTCATAGTTTGCTCCCCCTCCCCCTCCCTCTCCTGCGCTCAGCCACCCAAGCAATATCAATAACCACTAATTAATCTCCACAATTAAGTAATGAGTAACCATCCTATTGTGATCCAGATTTCTCCCTCCCCACACCCCCATGGCTACCAAACGGAAGGGATTGAACTCCAGTGCAAAAGGGGGCTTCCTCACGGTCTCTTCTTAACTGCCCCCTGGCCCTGCTGGCGGGCAGCCAGGAAGGCCTGGCACTTCCGGGCTTCTTCTTTCAGTCTCACTCAGAGGACGCTTCCTCTTCCATTCCTGGCACAGCAGAAAAGGGGCAGGAAGCGGCAGGAAGGGAGCAGCAGCCCTCCCCGACCCACAGCATCAGGACCCAGGAGTTTTCCCCACAGAGAAAAAGGACTTGGCCCTCCGGAGCTCCCCTCTGCCTGCACTTCTTTCCCCCTGAATGTCCCATAAGGAGTTTTAGGGACGGCCAAGGATTCTCTGCCCCATATTGGCCAAGCATCTTGGGTTGGAATTTATCACCACTGGTTGGGCTGCCTTGGCCAGCTCTGAGAGGAGAACCACTGGCGTCTCCACACCAGGGAGGGTCCAGACTCCGTGGTCTCCAACAGTTGGCTGCCACTTCTGCCAGAGGGGGCTTCAGCTCAGGGCCAGCCAGGCGGTCAAGGCACAGGAGCTTCCGTCATGGCCCCTGGGCTGCTGCCGTTGGCCCTCGGCTTTGGCTTCTTAAGCCCAGGCAGGGTGGGTCCTCCTGGCCTCGCTGACGCCCGGCTCAGCTTCTGGACTCCAGGGGAGCCACGGGCAGAGGGGCAGGAAGGGGCTTTCATCCAGGCGGCTGCAGCAGAGACTGCTGGGAAGCAGGGAGGAGGCAGCCTCAGAGACACTCTTCGGACACGGGGGGCGGCCGAGAGTCTCTTCCCCCAGCCCCGTCCGTCCCCAAGGATGAGAAGTCAAGCGGAGCGGCAGGCTGAGAATCGGAGCATCGCGGGAGCACTTCCGATCTTTCGGGGCCGTCCTTGGGCACTGCCACCCAAGAGGTACCCCGGTTTCTCAACCTGGACTAGCGAGACCGTGGAGCGAGGACCACCACGCGTGGTAGGAGGGGCACAGAGAGGGGAAAGTGGCGGAGAAGAGCAGCCAAATTCCTTCCCGTCCCTCGGCCGCCCGCTCTCCTTTCTTTTGCCTCCTCCTCCTCCTCCTCCCCGGGCGTCACGTGCGAACGCGCTCTCTCTTTCCCGCTCCCTCGCTCGCTCTCGGCTTCCTGCTCTCTCGGAGGCGATCCGGAGCCAGGCACTCGGCACAAAAAGCCGCCAGCTTCTCCCCCTCTAGCTCAGCCTCTCCCGCTGACATCACTCGGCGGGGAGGAGGAGGAGGAGGAGGAGGAAGGGTGGGGTGAGCGGGAGAAGAGCCTGGGAGAGAGCCGAAGCCGCCTGCCCGCCCTCCGCCTGGGCAGCCGCGACGCCCAGCTCGAGGGTCGCCCGTCCCGTCCCAGCAGGCGAAGCCAGGACGCCCTTCGTCCGCTAGGCCGGCAGCGCCGGAGGTGCCTGTGTCCTTCTGCCTTTCCATCCGTCGCTCTGCCGCGGGTAAGTCCGGAGGCCCCCCAGCTCAAGGCCGCCAGCCGGTAACAGCGCGCGCCTCTTCCCGGACTCCGGGGAAGGGGAAAGGGGTGGGTCGGTAGGCTCCGGCCGGCGGCAACGGAGCCGGCTGCGGGCGCTCTGCACATGGGCAGAGGCGGTGGCGGCGCCTCAAGGCAGAGCAGCTGGGCCGGAGCGCCCATCCCGGCCCAGGAGCCGCCGGGCGCGGCCGGAGACCCCTGGCCGACCAGCCTCCTCCTCCTCCTCGTGACCGTGACTCAAACGCGGAGCCCGCGTGAATCACTGTCGCCGCTTCCTCTTTGGCCCCTCGCCCGCCCAGCCCAGCCCAGCCCAGCCCAGCCCGCGCTGGCTTCTCCTGGCCGCCGTGTCGGCTCGCCTGCTGCCTTTCGGACTCAGCCGGTCCGGCAGAGCCAGCCGGAGGAAAGGGGGCGCGGCCACCTGCACGCTGCCCGGCGGCCTCCCTTGGCTCCGCGCCCCCGGGGGAGCAGCCGCTCGCCCGGCCCGCGGTCCCCGCCGCTCCGCCTGGCCGTCCCTTTGCCCGCCGCGCCTTTCGTTGACCTGCCCGCCCGCGCTTCCTGGCCGCCTTCCTGGCAGCGCCCCGCCTGGCCCGGGGCTCGGGCTGCGGGAGCCGCCCAGGGCGCCCTGACTCCGGAACAAGGACGTCGGAGAAGGGCCCTGCCCCGGGAGAAGCGCGAGAAGGCGGGCCTGGCCTCCTTCCCGCGGGGTGCGGACCTAAAGGGCGGGCGCCGCGCTCCCCCCAACTCCCCCACCGGCCGCGGCCGGGTTTCTTTCACATCGTCCCCACTTGTAGGGAAGCGGCCACTCAGGGGCACCGGCTGAGCCGCCGCCTCGGTGGGGAAGGGGGAGGAGGATGTGCCGGAGCCGCCTGGAGAAGCGGGTGGGAACCAGGCGCCCTCCGTTCCCGCCGAGAAGCAGCGGGGAGAGGGTGAATCCGCGGGGAGGAGGAGACTGAGAAGCGGCCCAGGCCAGCGTTCTTTCCCCAAGACTGGGAGAGCCACTGCCTGGGTGCCTTTCAGGGTCTGTCCCGGGGAGGCGGTGGGGGAGGAACCAGGGATGGATGAAGAGGTCCCTGGACCTTCCTTGGCTTCAAATTAAGCAGCCCAGGGAGGGCAGCAGAGAAGTCACTTTGCCCACCAGGGCGCCCCAAACAGGCTGGCGGTCCAGGCTGGGGGTGGAGTCTCAGCAGCCCTTCCTCCTCCCTCCCACTATTTGCAGGATTCTCTCCCCACCCGAGCAAATTCCTCCTAGAGCCCCTTCTCATTCTGTAAAGGAGGAAGCTGGCTTGACTGGCAGAATGTGCTGGATCTGGTCCTTGCCCCTGGTTTGCCTGGGTTGGGCTGGAGGCAGGTGCTCCATGGGGTCCCCCTGAGGCCCCGTCCTCTCCTGGAAACTGAAATTGGGAAACGGGGGCCTGGACTTTGCCCCTCTTTTGTTCTTAGACACTTTTACACTTTGCTTTCCTCGCTTCAGTTCACTTCCATGCCTCTTAATGGGTAACTGATGGGCTCTTCCAGCTGCTCTGGTGGGGCCTGGGGAGGGGTCTTCTGCCTATACTCTCCTATTCTCTCCTGAAATCCCCCTTAGTGTCATCTTCCGCCCGGTCCCTTCAGCCTTCGCAGGGCTGGCCTTTCAAGGGTTGCACTGAACTCCCTAAAGAGTGATCAGGATTTGGTTTCTCCAACTGGGCCCTTTGGACCCTCATTCTGGGTCTGACCCGGAATGAGCCAGTCCTTTCTGGCTTCTGGTGGACTTGGTGGCTGCTCTTCTCTCTCCCTCTCTCTCTCTCTCTGAGGTCAGCGGGACATTTCTGCTCAGCTCCAGCACTTGGAGATGTCCTCGCTAGTCCGGTCTCCAGAGCATCTTCTGAGAAAAGCTAGAGGTGGAGGAGGCAGAAAAAGAGGGACAGTGGCCAGAGGTCACCCACAAGGCTTTGTGGCCCCTCGGCAGGGATTTGAACTCTAGTCTTCCTCAGCCTCCCCTCCACCCCACCCATTATGCCTTAGGAGCTCCTCCTGGGTGACCTATTTGCTAAGTGCTGTGCCAATTCTCTGAAAGGGCAGAGCTGCATCATGGCAGATGGAGCTGATTCTGCCCTCTCTCCCAGGACCGCTGAATGCCAGGGGTGGACCTGACACGTCCGTTTCTGTGCCCGACTTAAAAGGTCAGCGGAGAACATTTCAACCCGAGTTCTGCAAGGAATGGAGCAGGGCAGGGAGAGGGGTCAGTTGACTTCCCCGATGCTGCAGGCACGGCTGGAACTCTTCTTAGAGGCCAACAGGCAAACACGGCTGCAGCTTGCAACCCTCTTCTGATCTGTGGTCTCTCTGCTCCGATGCCCATGTAGCATTTCTCTCCCAGAGCTTCACGTCTTCCCACGAAAGGCTTGCATGGCTGGGTCCAATCGGTGAGGCTCATGAGCAAGAAAGCCTTTCGCCTCGGGGGGCTTTCAGGGTAGAACCAAAGACAGGGAGGCAATGTCCATCCCCTCTGGCACAGCCGAAAGCCATGCCAAAGAGGAAAGGGAGGGAGCCCGAGGGCTGGTGGGCTGGCAGCTCCAGGAAGAAGGGAATGAGTTGCATCTTTCATCCCAGGCTCTGCTTCCAAGGTGGACTCTCTCTGGCCCCTCACAAGTGGCTCCTGGGGAAGCGGGGAAGGTTGGGGCCAATGAAAGGGCTCCCCTGAGGCAGCCAGACACACTCGCCCTCCCCACCTGCCAGGCCGAGGGTGGAAAACAGGTTAGCCGTTCTCCCCGTGGTGCCCTGAATTGCATCTGTCTCTGGGTGTCAGCCTGGATCAGCCCGTCCCTCCTCATTGTCTCAGGATTTGGGCGCCGGGGAATTGAACAAAAAGGCCATTGTTGAGGCATGGCATGACTCCCGCTTGTGCTTCGCCTCGCCTTTGTTTCCTCTGCGTCCTTCGATATTCCTCCCCACCAGCACCCCCCCACCGGACATTCCATTCCATTTCCGGGGGTGGGGGAGGGAGCTGCATCTTTTGGTGGGGCTCTTGCCGAACATGTGAGGAACAGCTGCACTTTCTTTAAAACCAGGAACATAAAACAAAACAATAGGAAAGGACCGGTGAGCAGGGATGGTGGGGAAAGGAAAGGCAAGTCAAATCAGCTCTGAGGCTGTCTGGTGGGGGTGGGGGTGGGGGAAGCAAGCCTGATGCAATCCCCTCCCTGCAGAGAAAGCTGAACTGGCCAGTCGGCCCAGGAGGCTGGAGCTGCAGACTGAGGCATTCCACATCTGCTGGGGAGGCATTCAGGGTGGGGGGGGAGGGGGAAGGAGGAGGAGGAGGGACTGTCTTTTCTGTTGGGGAAGCAGGGCATCCCTAAGACCCAGCCCCCCAGTTGGCCTCAGCAGGTGAGCCCCCCCTCTTTTTGGTCATGGCTGGCTGGCATTTCCAGAACTTGGAGAACTAAAAAGTTGCTTTATTCCAAATTGGGTCAGAGCCCTTCGTGCTCCTAGTGGACATTTTCTGTCTGTGGAAATGAGGAATCCCATCCAGGAGGGATCTTCCCAGAGCATTGGGAGAGGCCCTCTCCAAGCTTGAGGAGCAAGAGGTCTGGTCCTTTGGCTCCTATTTTGAAAGGAAGAGGAACAGAAGTAGGGAGAAGAACACCCTGCCATCATCTGCTAGAACTTCGCACCTTCATGAGGCCTCCAAAACTTTCCTCCTTCCTAGTTCGCATGTTCGTGCATTGGTCAATCGGCTCTGGCATTGGACATCCTTGGTCAAGCCATTGATTAATTTTTGAGGGTGCAGCAAAACCTTCATTCTTTCCTTGCAACAGGGCTGCTGTTTGCAGCGATCCTAGGAAAGCTGCCCTTCGCTCAGCTGATCTTTCTGGAAAAATAGTCAATATTTGGAAATATTTGGCACTCCAACTCCAGACCTTGGCAATTCCCTCCTCTCTGTCAAAGAGAGGCCACAGTTTGAAGAAGCAGCCGGAAGGGAGATGGTTGAGGTTAAAGGGCAGCTTTTTTAACAGCCATATTGTGTCACAAATTAAATTACTGTTTCACAGGAAAGGATCAAGGGTGTCAGCCTGCCTATAAGTGAGAGAGGAATCTCTGCTCCAAGCATGCTGGCGAAGCACGGAGGGCTTCGGAGAGAACATTCATTTTCAGCATAGGGGATTGGTTCCACTTCTGCCAATGCGCCTTTGAAAGTTTCTATTGTGAAATGTGAGTTCACAGGTGGCATGGCAACGGGAAGAGGGCAAAAAGCTTGGCGGTCTGCGTATAGCGTTCAATTAGTTTTTCTGAGTTGTTTTCCTCCGGAAACACACAGTCACAGTTCGCCTTGGATATTAAAGGGATAAATCAAATTTGAAAGAAACAATCAAGATCAACGGTTTTCCCCCCCTCCTAAAGTCCAATCTCTGCCTTTCAAACACCCCCAAAGGGTTTTAGAAACACGATATGGCTAGATATTTTTCTGGGGAGCCAATATCTGATCCTTGGCCAATCGTCCCCAGAAGAGAGGAGTCAAGGCAGAGGGAAAAGGCTCCTCGGCCCTCCAAGGATGGGGCCTCTTGGCACCAAAGAGCCTTGGCAGCATAGGTATTAACCAGCCCTGCTCCCAACCCAATGGGAGAAATCTCTCCTGCACAATAGGAATCACGACCACGCCTGGACCAGGCTCAGATTGCACCTTCAGCAACACTGGGTGCTTCATCCGGAGAGCAAACCCTTGCTGGGTGAAGACCTTGCCGCCCGAGAGGACCTCAAGGGCTTTGGATTTAATTGGAAAGGGAATAGGTTTAAGGGAGAGAGAGAGAGAAAGGGAGGGGGTCAGGGAGAGTTGGAAAGGCATATCTTGCTTAGCAGTTGCCATGGCAATTTCTCTTGCTCCTGAAAACTCAAGCTGGATAGCTTTCATTCACTCCCCCCACCCCAACACTCTGCTCCCCTCCCCGTTCGCTCCACCAAGTTACAGGCACTCCTAATCACTGGGCACGC